ACTGACCATTTGGAAACGCGGGCACTGCCCGAGGGCCCGGGGTCAGTAGCGGGCCCCATGAGATGCCCCTGGTACCTCTTTCATAGGCTTTTTTGAGTTTGGGCATGGACACAGGGGCCCCATGATCCCCTATTGCCCAGGGGCCCCATGAGTTGTCAGTCCACCCCTGCTTGTGACACAACAAGCTTAGTATAACCCATACAATATTATAACAAAACCGTCAATCCCAACCCATTCTATTAACTTGTCAGGATGTCAGCAACATTAAAACTTACATGACACATCCAAAACCAGTTGGATAAAATATAAATTGATGGGACTTTTTTCTATATTTTCCCTTTAATAAAAGAGATAACCACATGTTGCCATAAAACCATGTACTGTATGTTTGCAGCTGTTTTGTACCTAGTGACATAAGTAAAAATATAACCTATCTGTTTATCTAGAAAAGAATCACCACACTAAATATTAAAATGAGAAATTTTAATTTGTATTATATATGTTCTTATTTAAAAAAATATATATATATATTTTAATATCTACACCATCTGTACACATGAAGAGGTGCAAATGTGGAGTTCAAAATTAGAGCTAGATTAGGCCAGTTCAAGGCCACTAATACCTCGATGCATCAGTAGCATACTTCAAATGCTTCTGGAGATCTTTTAAAAAATGATGTCCCTATCAAATAATCTGGGCTCTTTAACACTAAAACTGCCATTGAATAAAGCATAGGTAGCATGTAGGGGGAGGGGAATTATACACAAATCTCTCAATTAGGGTAATAGACAAAATCTAAAAAACGGTGATAAATTTTCCATGCACAGTTTGATAAGGAACTCTATTAACTCAATTAACTCTAGCGGCAGAAGAAGTAACAGATTGTATTACCTCTCTCCTGACATTACCAAATATACATCGATCAGCCACAACATTATGATGTCCCACCTAATAATGGGTAGGTCCCCCTTTTGCCGCCAAAACAGCGCTGACCCGTAAAAGCATGGACTCCTCTGGTTTCCTAAAGGTATGCTGTGGTATCTGACACTAAGCCATCAGTAGCAGATCCTTTAAGCCTCCACCAGCTTGCCTTCTCCTGCACCCAGGTGCCATCTTTTCCCCAGGTAAGCGACCCACATGCACCCAGCCATCCACATGACGTAAAAGAAAATGTGATTTATCAAACAAGACTAGCTTCTGCCATTGCACTAGTTTTGATGCTCATGCGTCAATTGTAGGCGCCACCCCCCTGACCCTCCCCTCCCTCTGACAGAGGAATGGAGAGAAGTTCCCCGTACTAGCTGTCATATTTGAAAACAGCGCGGCTGTGCAGGGCTTTGCCCACATGGCCGTGTCATTCATTCACAGTGTTCTGTGAATGAATAAACTACAAGTCCCAACAGCCTTAGCGGCTATCGGCTTGTAGTTCTCAATGAACGATCATGGAGCTGTGGAGCACCGTGGTAGTTCATTGAATCTTCATGCCGTATGGGCAAACAGATATACGGGTTTACAGGAGACCTGCATGGCACCAGCAGTTTAATGCTTTACAGGCTCCTGCAGCCAAAAATCATAAATGCACATTTTTTTACCTGCAAAAAATGTACATTTATTATTTTTGTGCAAAAGGTGAACTTATCATTTAACTTTTTCAGCAAACTGAACTACAGTATATCTTCTACTGGATCAGACTACCGGGGCCAGCTTGCACTCCCACTGTGCTTTCACTCGCACTTGGCTGCTCATAACCCTGTCAACAGTTTGCCGTTTTTCCTTTCTTGAACCACTTTTCGTAGGTCCTGACCACTGCAGACCAAGAACATCCTACAAAAGCTGCAGTTTTGCTAGCCATTACCATTTGGCCCTTGTCAAGGTCTCTCAAATCTTTGCACTTGTCAATTTTTCAACACATCAACTTCAGGGACAATATATATCACATCCACTTTCAGGTGCCATTGTCATGAGATAATCAATGGTAATCACTATAACACTCAGTAGTAATGGCATGGCTGATCAATGTATACAACCCAGCTAGATGCCTCCTTAGATATCTAGAAGATTCAGATATGTCTAAGTATACCAAATTGCTCTTATGTTTATTATTTCTTTATGCCAAAATGTTATAGCAATCCAGTGGAAATCCTCTGATCCCCCTTCTACAAATTGCTGGCAAAGGCTTGTCAATCAAGTGCTACCGATGTCTGACCTATGGGGCCCGTGATTGTCTACAAAAATTAGATAAATGATGAGACTTTGGCTAGAGTCCCAACACATTGATATTTGGAAATAAAAAGTGTAAAGAAGTTATTTGACCTCTAACAGACATACAGTATGTACACTGAATAAGGATCTGAAAGATTCACTGCACAGACATAATCAAGGTTTATAGTTTTATTGATTTATGTATAGTAAATGAACCCATGTACAATATAGATATGAAATACCTACTAATACAGTTGGTTCTCAACCTTTCTAATGCCGCGACCCCTTAATACAGTTCCTCATGTTGTGGTGACCCCCAACCATAAATTATTTTCGTTGCTACTTCATAACTGTAATTTTGCAGTGGGAGGACTAGCGCCCCATCACTGATGTCAGTGGGATTGAATAGTGTCCCATCGTTGGTATCAGTGGGAGGAATAGTGTCCCATCATTGGTGTCAGTGGGAGGAATAGTGTCCCATCATTGGTGTCAGTGGGAGGAATAGTGCCCCATCATTGGTGTCAGTGGGAGGAATAGTGTCCCCATCATTGGTATCAGTGGGAGGAATAGTGTCCCATCATTGGTGTCAGTGGGAGGAATAGTGCCCCATCATTGGTGTCAGTGGGAGGAATAGTGTTCCATCATTGGTGTCAGTGGGAGGAATAGTGCCCAATCATTGGCGTCAGTGGGAGGAATTGTGTCCCATCATTGGTATCAGTGGGAGGAATAGTGTCCCATCATTGGCGTCAGTGGGAGGAATAGTGTCCCATCATTGGTGTCAGTGGGAGGAATAGTGCCCCATCATTGGTATCAGTGGGAGAAATGGTGCCCCATCATTGGTATCAGTGGGGAGGAATAGTGCCCCATCATTGGTGTCAGTGGGAGGAATAGTGCCCCCTCATTGGTGTCAGTGGGAGGAATAGTGCCCCATCATTGGTGTCAGTGGGAGGGAAATAGTGCCCCATCATTGGTGGTCAGTGGGAGGAATAGTGCCCCATCATTGGTGTCAGTGGGAGGAATAGTGCCCCATCATTGGTGTCAGTGGGAGGAATAGTGCCCCATCATTGGTGTCAGTGGGAGGAATAGTGCCCATCATTGGTGTCAGTGGGAGGAATAGTGCCCCATCATTGGTAGTCAGTGGGAGGGAATAGTGCCCCATCATTGGTGTCAGTGGGAGGAATAGTGCCCCATCATGGTAGTATCAGTGGGAGGAATAGTGCCCATCATTGGTGTCAGTGGGAGGAATAGTGCCCCATCATTGGTGTCAGTGGGAGGAATAGTGCTCCATCACTGGTGTCAGTGGGAGGAATAGTGCTCCATCATTGGTGTCAGTGGGAGGAATAGTGCTCCATCATTAGTGTCAGTGGGAGGAATAGTGCCCCATCATTAGTGTCAGTGGGAGGAATAGTGCCCCCATCATTGGTGTCAGTGGGAGGAATAGTGCCCCATCATTGGTGTCAGTGGGAGGAATAGTGCCCCATCATTGGTGTATCAGTGGGAAGAATAGTGCCCCATCATGGCGTCAGTGGGAGGAATAGTGCCCCATCATTGGTGTCAGTGGGAGGAATAGTGCCCCATCATTGTGGGGTGTCAGTGGGAGGAATAGTGCCCCATTGTGGGTGTCATGTGGGAGGAATAGTGCCCCATCGTGTGGGTGTCAGTGGGGGGAGGAATAGTGCCCCATCGTTGGTGTCAGTGGGGGGAGGAATAGTGCCCCCATCGTTTGGTGTCAGTGGGGGGAGGAATAGTGCCCCATCGTTGGTGTCAGTGGGGGGAGGAATAGTGCCCCATCGTTGGTGTCAGTGGGGGAGGAATAGTGCATCTCATCGTTGGTATTAGTGACACAAATGATGGGGCACTATCCCTCCCACTGACACCAATGATACTTACCTTGCTGACTCCTGCTCCAGCCTGGGCTCGCTCTCTCCCTCTCCCATCTACAGCCTGCATACCTGGCTGCAGCAGCAAAATTTGCACTTACATTGTCAGCTGTCTTCCTTCTCTGGCCTCTCTCGTCACTCGTTCCTGCAGCTCCCTCGATCTTCTTCGATCTCCCCGCGCGCTGCCGCTCGGCTCCTCCTCTCCAAGCTCCACCTTCTCGCGGTGATTGGCCGCCTGTGTGCCTCTCCTGAGCTACAGTTCCGGTGGCCAATCAGCGGCGAGGAGGCGGTGACAGGGGGCAGCATATCATCCCGCCCACACATCGCCGGAGACAGGAGCGGCGTCTGGTTCCTAAGACCATCAGAAATATGTGTTTTCCGATGGTCTTAGGCGACCCCTGGGAAATGGTCGTTCGACCCCAAAGGGGTCGCGACCCCCAGGTTGAGAACGCTGTACTAATAGGATTCTATAACTCTATGATAGTATGCATACTCAAGAACATACTAAAATGTACCTGAAATCTGTAAAACCACACTTTGTGACAAAATGGTATAATTGAGTTTTACCTGATAACGAATGGTCAAGTACAGTTCTGTATGTGTTACTGTGTGCTACAAACAATGTTAAACGTTTCCTTTAAAAAACTTGTAATGGCATGAGGAATGGACTAAGGGAACTTCCCAGACGTCAACATTTTAGGTGTTACACTGATTCACTATCAGGAGGAAGACCATGTGTTTTTTAACAATGGGCTGGTGCTTTAATGGCTTTCAGTTTCATACCATCCCCAACTAAATCACCCACCCTTTCTTGAAAAGCATATACCAGCCTCGTATGTCAGGTTGATATGTTTTACAACAGCCCGGCATTCAGATTTAAATCTCAGTAAACCAGACAACAAATAACTTGACACTTACCTCTCCTGACCTGTCCAAACTGTGATGTCGACTTAACCTGCCACTCACAGACAAATCTTCAAATTCAGACAAGATTCGGTTCACCATCCCTTCTTCCAGCTGGATTTGCTTCTGTTTACTTCTGTGAAGATCTCCCTGCAGCCATAGCCAGGCCTGTTTTCTAGAAATGATAGCAAAAAAAAAGTGAGGTTCCCTTATATGGACTATTAAGAAATTGCTTTTTAAAAAAAACGAAACACCATCAGGGAGGGGAAGGTCGGGATTGCTGTCCAATGCAAACGCCTGTTGCAATTCTGTGATCATTTCTAATAAAGCAGAGAACAAACAGAGATAACTCAATACTCCCTGCTACTGCCTCACTGGCAACAATGGGGTGACCAACTAATCTGCAATCGCGAGTGTCAATTTTAGTAAAGCAAAGTTTGTTGAAGTGTCTGATTGTGGAATTCTAAATGTTCATGTAGCTTAATTTACAGAAAAGGTTAGTTAGAAAGAAGTTTATTGCAGTAAAGCCAATCAAGAACACTAAACACTAGGTACTATGATAAAACGGGTAGGCCTAATGAGGCAGCACTTACTAGGAACATGCTGATTTCTGTTCCGTTATAAAACAGTTTAGACATGTTAATGGTTTTAAAGTACTAAATGCAAAAATGTTAGCTATGTCAGGTCTCCTGCTAGCACTGCGGATCAGACAGAGCAGAGGTATTTTATAATCACCCTCCAACACCAAATTTTTTCAGCAACACAATGAGGTATTCAAATTCCTGGTCCATTATTGTTAACAGAACTCTATGGACAGAAATCTGACCAATCCTATCGAATTCATAAGGAAACCTTATCTGTATGATTATGCCACTGCAGCAGATATCCTCAGTACGTAGTTCTGCAGATGAAATATGAAATTACAGTCAGGCTTTATGAAACTCTCAGGATAATATCCAGCCGAAAACCTCTTTATTAAATAACATGTACAAAGCTAAAAATAGCCAACACATTTCAGACAATCAGGACTGATTACCTGAAATGCGTTGGCTGTTTTTATCTTTGTGCATGCTGTTATTTAATAAAGAAGTTTATGTTTAGATATTATCCTGAGTGCCGACCTTTCCTGCTTTCAACGTTGATTTTGGGGGCATATCTGCTGCCAGGTCTGAGAACCAGTTGGAGGGAGGTTTGCAGCGTCCTTACCCCTGTGAAAATCTGGAGCTGAAAGAGGACAGGATACACCCCTCTGTGTTACTATATGTAGAGGGCAAAAACAAATCAGGTATTTACAGTTTTACAATCCACTTTCTGCATACAGACCTGTAACCTCAACAGTTCTTGAATTACAGCACCAGGTTCCTTAAGAACCCAGGACCTGAAAGGGGAAATTTGTACACCTCTCTACTTTTCTATACCTAGAGGTCAGGAATTTACAGTTTTAAAATCCACTTTTCTGTATGCAGATCAGCTATGCAGAGTATGTAAACCCAACATTTTATATTCCTGATATGTGCCTGCTGTATCATGTGCTTGTATGAAAAAAGTATCCTGCTCTTTGTATTGCTTCCTTTGTACGAATTCCCTGGTGTTCCTGCCAGTCCCTCAGCTTTCCTATTAAAAACTGACATTAGGCATATGAGCACAGCGTGGTCAGTTCTTAGCTGTGCTGGGTACTCAGCCTGCTCTCCTCCAATGATCAGACTCATCCTAAAATGCCACCCCGCACAGCTATTCACTAGGAAGATCAGTGTACTGCTGTCTAACCCCCCGCCCCAGTACTCTGTTCTCAAATGTAACTCTCCAAACGCAACATAAATGCTTATTGTTTTAATGTGTTCAAATGATGATTTATAATGAGTTCAGGTCCCTATTCAGGGCTTAGGACCACTGAAAGTTATGTTTTCTTTATGGTAATTTTAGTGCAATGGGAATATGGCATGTCATAGGCATGTCTTTCCTGATTAAGAAGGCGATCTGGGGATCAAGATGGAGTGGCTGTCAAAAAAATGACATGGCCAGACAACTAATGAAAGCTGTGAAGATCATTAAAGAACTGTTCATGTGCCCAAAGGTCCTTTCCAAGAAGATCAATCCAGTCATCCAAAGGACCATATTCCATGTGTGAACTGACGGTATGGAAGAGGCTTCCATGATAACCACCAGGACTTTAAATGGCTGATTCATGCAAAAACTGTTTCCACTACATATGGGTCTAAGGCCTCTATTTAGGGAGGACAACAATGTAGTATGGTTCTTAGCAGGGCTTCCTACTTCCCCCACTTCCATTGAAGTGGTTAAAAAAAATGAAGGTTTATTACCTTTATGCATTCTATGCATGAGGGTAAAAAACCTTCTGTTTGTTGCTCCCCCACAGTCCCACAGTTACCCCCCCCCCCCCCAATACTTGCCTGAGCCCCCTCTTGATCCAGTGCTGTGCATGGGAGACTCGGCTCTCCTAGATCTCTCTATCCTCATTGGCTGAGACATAGCAGTGGGAGCCACTGGCTGTCAATTGGCTGCTGTCAGTCATAGCGAGTCAGGAGAGAACAGGGGTTGGAGCTGAGCTGTGCTTTGTATGTCTCATAGACACACACAGCCGGCTCGGAAGCGAGCACACACCAGTGTCTCCATAACAAGCGGCTTAGTCTGCTGGCTGGATAAAAGACTAGATAATGTTTGCATGAAAAATTGCATAGTTGTCTGACTGGATCCAGTTATGAAAAACTGATGACAAGGATTGAATAACAATCCTTAGCACTTACAATTAAACATAAATGGGTATAGCAATGCCATTGCTATTTAACCTTAATTTGCATGCATGTATTCAAATAATGATGTTGTGATACAGACAATTTGATTTCAAGGGCCCCTGTTTTATTATTTTTATGTAAAGTTTAATAACATTAAAATTAATTAATTCAATATAGTTTACTCTTTGTGGTGGCATTAAAGTGGTATTAAACCCAAAATGTAATAAATTGCTGATTAGCCATCATTAGATGTGGTTGCTGCAATTGTTTTCTTTTTTTTTTTAGGAATTTTTCCCTCTGTTTTTACCTGGTGATCTGACCAGTAACACACCTCCTGTATTGCCTCCACTTTGAATGAAGGAGAACAGGGGCATCTTTATATATCAGCATTGCAGGGGCGGACTGACCATTTGGAAACTCGGGCACTGCCCGAGGGCCCGGGGTCATTAGAGGGCCCCATGAGATGCCCCTGGTACCTTTTTCATAGGCTTTTTTGAGTTTGGGCAAGGACACAGGGGCCCCATAATCCCTATTGCCCTGGGGGCCCCATGAGTTGTCAGTCCGCCCCTGCAGCATTGTTAATCTGGGGAAAGGGGAGTGCTAGATGTACTAACAGATTTAGATACACTAAACTATTTGAAGATGAAGTCCAGTTAACACTTTATAAACAGTTACAAGTTTTTTTTTCCTTTTGGGATAAAGATTTTAAGAAATAAAAGCTGATCATTGTAAGCTCCCTTGCCAGTGGTAAAGGATTTGTCTCAACCCTCTAAATGTTATATCTGCAAGAGAGCTTTGTTCTTTTGAAAAACCACAAACTTACTGTCAAGATCACCAGGTGAAAATAAGGGAAAGAAATGTATGTGTAATAACAAAATGAATGCAGCCACCACATCTACGAATTGCTAAGCTGCAATATAATAACATGCTTGCTTTGGGTTTTCATTACTGAACCCTCTTTTTTTTTGCTTGTCTAAAGATAAGCCATCTAATTACACTGATTTAAGTGATCTGTCCAAGTATTGCTGCTTATTATATCTCTATAAAGTTATTATACATTCCCATTAGTCAAAGCCCTTAGAGGCCTGACCACCTTTATAGGGATCAAGATAGGAAAAAGAGTATGCCACCTGCTTTTAGATGCAAATTATATTTGACTTGCTATAAAAGATCCTTAATTTGCATTAATGGACATTTTAGAAACAAGTGATTTGTTTTCAACATCCTCATGTTATGAAGCCAAAATATGAACTATTTATCCACATAAATGTTGAATGCTAACCCTAACCTACACTTGGTGAGCCAGTATGGTCAAGAGTAACAATGTTTTTGAATCTCTGATTATTAATCCAAAATATTTTACGTGCATTGTGGGGAATTAATCAAAACTGGACCAGCAAGAATTTGGAGTAGCTGTGCATGGCAACCAATCAGCTTGGTTGATCAATCTTTCATTTTCAAACCTTAACTGAACAAGCTAGAGATAGAAGCAGATTGGGTACCATGCACAGCTGCACCAGATTCTGTCCAGTTTTCTCCTCAATCTCTTTTCTGTTGAGGTGGTGGAACACAAGTATAAAAAGGATACATTGAAACTGACAAAGAAGCACTTAACTAATTTGTGTTATCTCTTACTGAACACCAAAAACACTCCATGATGGTAGGTTAATTGGCTCATATATTAATTGACCCTAGTATGTGTGAGTGGATCTAAAAATCCCAACTGCAGCATCCTAGGCAGACCCTGGTAAGGCTACATTGAGTGGCTATTGCAACTTTGGTACACATTTCAAACATGAAAAAATAAGGTTCCATGGTTTGAAATGTGCTGAAGATCGCAATGTGGTCATGGTAGTGGGATGTATGGATGGACACACTTAATTTGTCCAATCATGAACAAGCCAAAATCATGGTTTTTAAATTCCTCTGTACAATGATGCATGTTGAAAGTGAACGCAGCTTCACTTTTCTGTGCCAAAAGTTCCCTTTGATAAAGGAAATCTACTGTCACAGCACAAACTTTCATTTTATAACATCAGCATTGTAATAGCAATATAAATAATAGTTATTTTTGGCAATCCAATATAACTTTACTTGAAAATATTCCTTTCATGTTGTGAAAGCTGCTTGTCTCCTAGTTATCACTTTCCACAACTTCCTGGATTCACTGCATGCCTTGCAGCTCCTCCTCTGCTGTTTACTTTCAATTTCTAAGGACTACGTATCCCATGGTACTTTGCTGCCTGCAAGCAGTGATTCCTGTACTGACTCCAATTCCTGAAGCTTCCAAGCTTTTCCTCCCAGCACCTCTGTAGTTCAGAAGGCAGACTCTAAATTCTGTGATACAGTAGTAGTCACAGGGTATAGTGAATGCATGTCACAGAATTCAAGCAAGTAAATGTGTGGGTATCTTCGCAAAGTAAATTTAAGGCTAGTAATAATTGAAATAAAATGTGGAAATGAGTATATGGTTTTACATTTTGACTATAGATACGGTTTGCATGAACATTACACAATCTTGTAGCGAATGAAGATCTTTCTGTAAATGTTCTCAGGATGGAAATATAAACAGTAATATTTTATTCTATTATGTATCCTCCACTTGACAAGCGAAGGAAGGCTTAATGAATTTTGTTAAATCAAATAATAAGATAAAAACACTAAATTGTGTGCGTATACCTTACTCAGTCATATCTAGAAAGTGAAGCAAATTCTTTGAAATATCAAAACAAGTGATTTACACTGCATGCTAAAAAGCTGTGACTCAGGTAATTAAATCATTTTAATCTAGCTTACAGTATTCTCTCTGTCTAGATCACATTTGCATTACTAAAACACTTTGATGTTATAAAAATGATCAGAAAGAGGTAATTTTATCTGATCGTGCCTGGATGAAACTGTGTAAATCAAATCTGCATTACATTAACTAACAAAAGCTGAACATTGACTTCATTTGAATAGCTTATCTTAAAGACAAACTTCACCAAAACCCAATAATTTTATCTTAGGTAAAGGAGGGCTAAGAATAAAACTGTTATCACCCTCTATCTACCTTTGCAGCCTTGCTGTATGCCCCAGCAGTATAAAATTCCACTATGGGAACAGTGGGAAAAGCAGGTCCAGGAGGTGGCCGATAAACTTTATTTGTATGGGTTCTAAACCAGGACTAGAAATATTCAGTATAGCTTAATGTATAAGTTCATCATGACCACTATATTAGGATATCTGTAGCCAAATTTAACTTTGTTCACTCACTTATCTAAAAAAAAAATGTAAGTGTTTTCACCAAACCAGATCTTGGGTCCCATTCATACTTGCACATCATCATAGCTAATCAAGGCTGTTTGCATGTCATTACCTGTGATTGATCAGCCATGGACACAGGCTTTCTGCACCCAAAGTCAATCATTCAAAGGTAACTGCCCCATAAGCAATTACATGCAAGTGGCTATGATGAGCAGTCAGCCTACTTTTGTTTTAATGGGGCTTCCTACTGCAGCTAATCAAGGGAAACCCCCGCTGAGGGCCTAATGTTCTGCTGCCATGATATAGATCTGGCTGGGTTGTAATGCATGACAGGGAGTTTTATATGTGCGTAACTAAATAAAGATGTTTTGTCTTCCTGGACCCCAATGTCCTGGTTATAGCAAATGAGTGCAATCTATTGGAAAGAATATGTGGACCAGGCAAGTGGGAAGGCTGGTGGTGATACCAAACAAAGCTCAGCTGTCCATTGGATTCTAATGACTATTATATATTAATATACACCCTATTCCCAAGACTCTCCATCCAAAACAATATGAAACATTTTATATAGATGTCATCACTGCTATCACCTGAACATGCCTTTGATTTGTACTGACAACCCTCACTTCAATATGCCCGCTGACAAGGAGCAGGTCTGTGATAGACTACAGAAAGGAATTCAGAGTACATAAAACCATGTACACATTCCATCCTCATATAGCTCTGCAACCTTCACAAGGACATATGGTATAACTTGCCTCAATGTTAAGATCACATAACACTACAAGGCTTGAATGAGAAATTTGCTAATACGTCACAATAAAAATATAAATGGCCTCACTGTATAACATCAAACACAGAAATCTAACATACTGTATGATCAGTTGCTATGGGTAACAATATTTTTTTCTTTTTTTATATAAAAAATTCTAAAAAATATAGGTATAAAATGCTACTAATACTGTACAATTAAAAAACACATGAAACTATAAAGTACATTTCAGAGCAAGGAAACTATGTTCAAAGAAGCATCAAAACATAGAGACAAGGACATTACTTACTCTTCTAGGAAGTGCTGCTGAGGCCCGATGATAGAGCCAGGTCGACATATTCTTATCCATGCTATAGCTTCAGAGTGTGTGAACCTGTAGTGCTTCATAATATAACACGCAATAAGGGTGCCCGTCCTGCCTAGGCCAGCTATAGGAAATAACATAAGTGCACAGGATTCAAATATGTTGTCACAATTCTTCAGAAAGCATTTGAAAAGACAGACACATGTATGAAGGTCTCTCTATGTGTTACTCTTAGAGATTTAGTTACCTACTTCTTGAAAAGATGAGAAAATAGAAGGAATAATATGAATGGTGGCTATTGGCAATACAGACAGTTCTATGTCAAACTTCTATATATAAGAGGCCTACAGCAGGAAGCTAGCATTTCAAGGTCCTCAGACAACCAGCCAGCACAAGTACAAAGATGATATAGTGGCACTCCAGAGATCGGAAAGAAAATTAATCACTTACACTGTCATATTGTTGAGTGGATCTGCCACCCTTCTTCTGCAGTGTCCATTGAGTTATTATTACTAGCATACTTCTGAAAAGTCGAGTGTAAAAAGGAACTTCATCAGAAATCTGCAGTTAATATTGATTTTAACTCACTCTTAGCTGGTTTGCTGGGATACCTGGAATTCCCACTGAGCAAAAACAGCATTGTCCCACTGGGATCCACAGCTCAGCTGTTGCAGACCAGGTGCTGTTCCGCCATCTTCTTTTCTGATGTCATTAGGAGTCGGCTGTTTCTTTCGGGCTCAGCAACCGGCCCCTTCAGGATAAATTGTCAGGTCCGCACTGATAGCCACAGAGTATAAGCCGATGCCTCCTGGGATATCTGACAGATATCACTGAAGGCTACTGGAGCATAACTGACATAATTCTGGCACTGGCAAGAATGTAGGGAGAGTTTGGGCCAGACCAACAATCAAGAAAAAATGTTTAAAAAAAAAAAAAGCTACCATTTTTAGGTTAAAGTGTTTCTAAAGCCTTAAGGTTTTTACCTTAATGCACTCTATGACCGAATTCCCCCTGTACCTCACTTTTTTGCTGATTGAAACGTATACTTTCTACAACTGCAAAGCCAAATGCCCACTGTATTTAGTATTCACTGATGACATGGCATACTCATAAGACCACAGGAAGCATCTTAATAAATATAAGGTGTCAGCTAAACAGTTCAGTTAATGAACAGATTTTCAGAATGGCAGCCCCTAGTATTTTCATTGAACTGGTAGGAGCAGAATAAAGGTATGTGCTGCAGGGGAAGGAGGCATTAAAGTGAACCTGTAGCTTTGCCCTATATGCAAAGTCCAGATGTGCTTTTAGTGCCAAACTAGAGATTTACTAGCTGCAATAAATACGAGCCTGGCAGCTATAGAATTACACATGATTGCACTACACTGTGCCAGTGAGATTCTAGAAAACGTACACACTGACTCTCCTGTGGTTGTAATTACATGATTTGGAGCCAAGTAGAGTGTTTAGCACACATTAATTACCAGAGTATAAATAGAAATATTTACATGAATACTCCCTGGAGTTAAATAATAGGAGTTTCTGCTGAACACTGGTTGATAAGATGTAGCACCATCTAATGGGCTCTGAAGAAATTACACTAAAATGATTATACAGTATCTCACAGAAGTGAGTACACTCCTCACATTTTTGTAAATATTTTATTATATCTTTTCATGTGACAACACTGAAGAAATGAGACTTTGCTACAATGTAAAGTAGTGAGTGTACAGCTTGTAAAACAGTCTAAATTTACTGTCCCCTCAAAATAACTCAACACACAGCCATTATTGTCTAAACTGCTGGCAAAAAAAGTGAGTACACCCCTAAGTGAAAATGTTTAAATTGAGCTCAATTAGCTATTTTCCCTCCCCGGTATCATGTGACTCATTAGTGTTACAAGGTCTCAGGTGTGTTAAATTTGGTGTTAATGCTCTCACTCTCTCATACTGGTCACTGGAAGTTCAACATGGCACCTCATGGCAAAGAACTCTCTGAGGATCTGAAAAAAAGAATTGTTGCTCTACATAAAGATGGCCTAGGCCGGGTGTCGGCAACCCGCAGCTCCAGAGCCGCATGCGGCTCTTTTTCACCTTGGCTGCGGCTCCGGAGCACACTGCCCACCAGGTGACAGGCAATAGGGCAGCAATGGGCAAACTACGGCCCGGCAGACCTTTTAATCCGGCCCGCGGAGCTAGGCTCCCGCTAGGCTCCTCTCACAGTCCGCCCTGAAGACCGGTGTAGCATGAAAATCTGTCTCCTATGAGGATCTGTCCCCCTCGACGTATCTGCGCATGTGAAGGAGATGAATTACTATATAAGGGATGAATTACTATATGGGGGATGAATTACTATGGGGAATTAATTACTATATGGGGGATGAATTACTATGGGGGATGAATTACTATATGGGGGGATGAATTACTATATGGGGGATGAATTACTATAGGGGGGATGAATTACTATATGGGGGATGAATTACTATATGGGGGATGAATTACTATGGGGGATGAATTACTATATGGGAGATGAATTACTATGGGGGATGAATTACTATGGGGGATGAATTACTATATGGGGGATGTATTTTCAGTTTTAAAAATGTGGCTCTGTAAATAAATTTCAATCGTGGTTTTGGCGAGATTTGGCTCAGTTGAAAAAAAAGGTTGCCCAGCACTGACCTAAGGCTATGATTGTGATTATGACGATACACTGTGGCCCTGATTAACCCTTTGCTTACTGGGCCCTTAAACCCCCTTCATGACCAGAGCGCTTTTTGCAATATATGCAGTGTCGGATTTGTTTTAAATGTTGCAATGGTTTTGCGGCTCCCAGTCTTTTTTTCCCTCTCGGAAACGGGTCCAAGTGGCTCTTTATGTCTTAAAGGTTGCAGACCCCTGGCCTAGGCTATAAGAAGATTGCCAAGACCCTGAAATTGAGCTGCAGCAGGTGGCCAAGACCATACAGCGGTTTAACAGGACAGGTTCCACTCAGAACAGGCCTTGCCATGGTCAACCAAAGCAGTTGAGTGCATGTGCTCAGCGTCATATCCACTGATCCATATCAACACTGAAGAAATTACACTTTGCTACAATGTAAAGTAGTGAATGTACAGCTTGTATAACAGTGTAAATTTGCTGTCACCTCGAAATAACTCAACACAGCCATTAATATCTAAACTTCTAGCAACAAAAGTGAGTACACCCTAAGTGAAAATGTCCAAATTGGGCCCAAAGTGTCAATATTTTGTGTGGCCACCATTATTTTCCAGCACTGCCTTAACCCTCTTAGGCATGGAGTTCACCAGAGCTTCACAGGTTGCCACTGGAGTCCTCTTCCACTCCTCCATGACGACATCATGGAACTGGTGGGTGTTAGAGACCTTGCGCTCCTCCACCTTCCCTTTGAGGATACCCCACAGATGCTCAATAGGGTTTAGGTCTGGAGACTTGCTTGGCCAGTCCATCACCTTTACCCTCAGCCTCTTTAGCAAGGCAGTGGTTGTCTTGGAGGTGTGTTTGGGGTCGTTATCCTGTTGGAATACTGTACATGCTGGCATTCATGGGTCCCTCAATGAACTGTAGCTCCCCAGTGCCGGCAGCACTCATGCAGCCCCAGACCATGACACTCCCCCACCACCATGCTTGACTGTAGACAAGACACACTTGTCTTTATACTCCTCACCAGGTTGCCGCCACACACGCTTGACACCATCTGAACCAAATAAGTTTATCATCAGAACACAGGACATGGTTCCAGTAATCATGTCCTTAGTCTGCTTGTCTTCAGCAAACTGTTTGCGGGCTTTCTTGTGCATCATCTTTAGAAGAGGCTTCCTTCTGGGATGACAGCCATGCAGACCAATTTGATGCAGTGTGTGGCGTATGGTCTGAGCACTGACAGGCTGACCCTCCACCCCTTCAACCTCTGCAATGCTGGCAGCACTGATACATCTATTTCCCAAAGACAACCTCTGGATATGACGCTGAGCACGTGCACTCAACTGCTTTGGTCGATCATGGCAATGCCTGTTCTGACTGGATCCTGTCCTGTTAAACGGCTGTATGGTCTGCAGCTCAGTTTCAGGGTCTTGGCAATCTTCTTATAGCCTAGGCTATCTTTATGTAGCTCAACAATTTTTTTTTCAGATCCTCAGAGAGTTATTTGCCATGAGGTGCCATGTTGAACTTCCAATGACCAGTATGAGAGAGTGAGAGCGATAACACCAAATTTAACATACCTGCTCCCCATTCACACCTGACACCTTGTAACACTAACGAGTCACATGACATCCAGGAGGGAAAATGGCTAATTGGGCCCACTAAGTGGGTTCACTTAGTGGTGTACTCACTTTTGTTGCCAGCGGTTTAGACATTAATGGCTGTGTGTTGATTTATTTTGAGGGGACAGCAAATTTACACTGTTATACTAGCTGTGCACTCGCTACTTGACATTGTAGCAAAAGTGTCATTTCTTCAGTGTTGTCACATAAAACGATATAAAATATTTACAAAAATGTGAGGGGTGGACTCACTTCTGTGAGATACTGTATGTAATGGGAGAAATACAATGTGAAGGCAGCCACTGCTGACCTCTCCTTTTGAAAATGCTAGCTGCCTGGCTGGCATCATGGTCCAATGCCATTCTTATCCAAGCAACTAGCATTTACACAAGGATGTCTGCAATGCCCACCCTTGTCTCAATGTAGGTTTCCTTGCTGCTGGTATTTAGTAAAAGATGGTGAATAACACCAACAGAACTATTCATTATGGCAGTAGAGAGACCAGTGATACTGTATAAATGGTAATAATCTTAGAACCACAGCAACAGATTGCAATCCACTAATTAAGGGTAACTGGTAATAAGGTAAAGTGGACTTCTAAGACTGTTGCTTTTCATACAGCAATGCCATTTCTCTGGATCTGATTCAATCCAGATCAATGACCTGAAACAGGCATTCTGCCAGTGAAATCAGCAACTATAGATTGCAAGATTGTGCACATTTGCAGAAAAAATGCAGTTTTGCCTTCTTGTGTTCCTTAGATACTGAAATAAACCCAGACAGTGCTAATCTTTCTATACGAGTATTAAACTGGAGGGTCTGTCCACACTATAACGCCAAAAATCCACATTGCATTTTAGGTATCCCAAGATGAGCATCATCAAAGTAGCTGAATGTTAGTTCTGTAAAGCAGAAAGCCACTTACAGGAGATGAGAGAGGGACGATTCTGGGAAATCCTGCCTACAAACTGAGGAATGTTGACATAGTTGTTAGGAAGAAAGCAGTCATACATTTGGCACCTACAGAAAACTACTGCTGGTCTCTGGTTCAGAGAGAAAAGCTATCTTAAAAGTGGAACTTTACTCCCGAAAGGGAGATAGCTCTGCTTAACACTCCCACCCCAAGCAGGATTGCTGGCAAATATATATTTTTTTTTAATTCTGGCCCTCCACCTCGCCACCATTTCAAGCTAGGCCAAAACGACATGTACCTGGCCCTCCAGCCCCCTGAGATACTTACATCACATATCCCAAAAAACTACAGGATTGCCACACAGAGCAGCAAGTGGGTGGGCCAGAGGGAAAGTCTGGTGCATCAATGGAGCTGGCATCCTCTACATCCAGAAGAAGCAGCCAACTGAAAAGAACTAAGAGGTGAGTGATGCACTATATGGCACCCAAACAGAGGATGGCAACGGCCATGCAGATGGATATGTGTTCAAGAGAACACAGCACTACAGTTAAGAGGGGGAAAAACATGAGTGGGGGAGGGGGGGTGTTGAAATCTGCTTTAATAATATTTTTTTCACTGCCAAATGGGTTTAGGCAGCAATTATACATTAAAATAATGTCTTCCCACATTCTCATCCTGATTTGATAAAGGAGTACATGATTGGACGACTGAAGTCAGCACCACTTCACCTCATAAACTAAGACTAAGCTAAGCGAAACGTCACTTTGCAAGGAGTGCATTTAGCTACCTTAGGGAAGCTTTGCTGACTTCAATCATCCAATCATGATTGAGCAAAAATCATGTTTCCTTGCATATGATTGACTTTCCTTTGCAAAACCCCTTGTAAAACCATGGCTCAAATGCGTGTTTTTACCCCCTCATTGTTAAGCAGGCATTAGTGAATTGAGTCCACAGTGTGCCTATTGGCTGGAATAGGCTTACCTACCCCCAAGTGTGTGAAAGTGTGAAGCACTTGTACTGTATATATAGTACTATTGAGATATCATGGACCCACCTTCACATTTTCCTCCAGGCAAAGAGGCGTTTACCCACTGAACCACTACAATGCTTCCAATAGGGCGGAAGTCACAAAATCCTAAAACAGAAATAACTCTGCACCCTCCAAAGCCATGGTCCAGTAGTGCTTGCTGCTCCATTACTCGTGTTACTGCACATAAATCCTGATTTCTATAAGGCCTCATGCACACAGATGTGTTAAGGCTTTAAAATATAACTGGTGTTTTTCCACACCTAGGAAGCCACATGTGGCGCATAAAAGTAAATGGTTGTAAATGGACATATAAAAGCGCATGCTCATTTCCACTGCCTTCAGTACACAGCACCTGAGGTTCACCAGATACAGAAAACCACTGGAATGTTATGCTAGGCATATTTGTAAGCCTCAAAGTAGTCCATACGCATGGAGCCTATGATAAGAGAATTAAAGCTGAATCTGTTTATATGTTGCTTTCTCTGATTCCTCCATTCCCCCTTCAGCAACATTCTATGCATGAGGTAAAAAACCTTCAGTGTGCAGCTCCCCCCTCTCTCAGCCCCCCTAATACTTACCCAAGCCTGATCCAGCTCTGTGGAGCCTTGCCTCTCCTAGGTCTCTTTCTCCTCATTGAATAGGACACAGCAGCAGGAGCCATTGGCTCCCGCTTGTGTCAATCACAGCCACTGAGAGACCTAGGAAGGTGATGCTCTTGTGCACAGTGCTGGATTGCGATCAGTCTCAGGTAAGTATTAGGGGGGCTGAGCTGCACTCTGTGTGTCTCATAAACACTCAGAGGTGGCTGAAAAGCAAGCACACTTGAGATCAGCATGCTCTGGGGACACTCAGTGGGGGGTGGGGTGACCAAGAACGTTGGTGTGGGACCTGAGAAGAGGAGGATCAGGCTGTTCTGTCCTAAACCCCTGCACAGAGCAGGTAAGTATACTATGTTTGGCTTTTTTTTTTTTTTAAGTGAACCTTTAGTATTACTTTAAGGCTCCTGCGGCAGAGTCAACCCTAATGCATGTATTGGGCTGGCTCTTGGGAGGAGTTATGCAAATATCAAGATGCTGTCATAAGTGGACGCCAGTCTAGAGGAGTGGATGCTCCTAATCAGTTGGCTGCAACTCCTAATTAACACTGTGAGAAGCACAAGAATTCAGTTTCTGGGCCAGCATGGCCCCCGGCTTGTTTGCACAAGAATAACATTTATGTCTGGCCCAGCGTAGGGCCTTCTCGCTTGGTCAGAGGCCAGGAGGTCTAGTTCCATGGCAATAGGGTCGCAAGCCTTCTGGGTCTTGGCTTTAGGGGAAGACTTCCAGGCCGCATCCGCCACAGAAAGTTTGGTGGTGAGGTCCTGAAGCCTCCGTTCCTGTTCACATTTGCGGGTTGAGGCTATTTGAATAAGACGGCCCTGTAAGGTAGCCTTATGAGCCTCCCAAATGGATGGAACTGAGCCCACGTTTTCGGTAAAAAATGTTTGAATGCTAGAGTGTACCTCTAGACAGGAATCCTGTGTCGTGTGGAGGGAATCATTAAGCCACCATTCAGAAGGAGGCCTAGAGGAGCTTGAAAGTGAAACAAGAGCTACGTTAATTTTTCCTGGTCCCATTGTATGTAGAAAAATAGAATACAGGGCCATTAGGTAGTGATGCGTATAGATTGCTTTTACAGAATAAGAATACTGTTTAGTGTTGCTTTAAATATGCACTAAATTCACCAGTATTATAATATCATCTGATCTACCAATTTTTGCTAAAAAAAAATGATAGGTCCATGACTAAAGACCCCCAGACACCTAGTCAAAGAGAAATCCCACATGTTCCTCTTAATGTGCAGCAGGAGTTTATGTGTAAGAAGGATTAAATTGCACAGCACTCTCACCTGTATCATCAAATCATCAAAAAATCTGCTCATCAGGTTTGTTGGGTATCAGTAGCCACGTATTCAGTGGTTAAGGTTTCCTGCTGCTTTAGGTTGTATTCACCAACAAAGCCTAACTCCTCAAGGTTTTCTCAGTTACAGCTATTGGTTATTTGCTTATCTACGTTCATAGAACTATTTGCTATTGGGATGATTTACTAAAACTGGAGAGTGCAAAAACCAGGGCAGCTCTGCATAGAAACCAATCAACTTCCAGGTTTTATTGTCAAAGCTTAACTGAACAAGCTGAAGTTAGAAGCTGACTGGCTACCATGCACAGCTGCACCAGATACTGAGTGCTCCAGTTTTAGTTAATCTCCTCCATTATGTACTTATATTGAACTTGCATTTCTCTGTATGATCTGCATAGTGTAATGCTGCTTTTCCCTGGCTGTTGTCATTTGTTTTTGTTTTGCAATCTAATAAAGGCATATTTTTCAATTAATATATAAAAAAACTATGAAGCAGCGAGGAGTTAACTAAAAGCTAGAGGTTTCCATAAATGAACAGCAGGCAGCAGCAGTTGGTATGCCAAGTATTTGTTTGATAGTCAACTCCCACACAGGACTTCTTGTCTTATGCCATATAGAAAGCACATTTGGGGGAAATTTACTAAAACTGGTGCACACAGAATCTGGTGCAGCTGTGTATAGTATTGAACAGGCCGAAGTTAGAAAATGTTTGGTTGCTATCAGGGGCGGACTGACAACTCATGGGGCCCCTGGGCAATAGGGGATCATGGGGCCCCTGTGTCCTTGCCCAAACTCAAAAAAGCCTATGACAAAGGTACCAGGGGCATCTCATGGGGCCCCCTACTGACCCCGGGCCCTTGGGCGGTGCCCTAGTTTCCAAATGGTCAGTCCGCCCCTGGTTGCTATGCACAGTCGCACTAAATTCCTTGTGCACCAGTTTTAGTAAATCTTCCCCGTAGACTGTCTTAGTGACTGCTATCATAGTTCCAGTTTGACCACCACCATACAGGAATGAACATACAGATAAAGTTTCACCATTTTTCAGCTTACCTTTGCAATGAACGGCAATAGCCCCATCTGTGTTCTCACACAAGTTCAGGAACCTCCGCACTATGCCATCGCTAGGTGTGCTCCCATCCACAAAGAACAGATCATAATGGTCGAATCCAGCATCTGTAAATCTTCTAGAGTCATAAATCTTCTTATTAAGCCTAATGATGGTGGTGACATTGTGTTTCCTGAAATATGGGAAATATGCTTCTGGGGCATGCAATGGATAACCTTCAGAGAAAAAGTTACATAATTATTTTTTGGAATTTATAACTTATTTGGTTTTGTACTATGTTGTGTAGTCGTCTATATTTATATAAACAAGTAAGCACAGATCATTTTATCCAGGTATTACAACATATTAAGAAAAAACTCTGTGATTCTATGATAGAATAGCACAAAACTACACTATTCAGGTCAGCTTGTTCTAAATAGTGCAGCTAAGAAAATAATTGTGGTGCTATCTGTGATGATGGATTTTGTTCATGTACAGCCTGTGCAGCAAAAAATGACCATTGATACCTGTATGACTGACCTATCATCACATGCTTTATATTTATTCATGTTACGTGCATGCATGCTAGGTAATGTGTATGTACAACACTTAGCCCTGGTTCACACTGATGCAGTGCGGAATTTGCAGCGTTTTCAGTGTGAATTCCGCACCGCATCACAATCGCACCCCATTCATACAAACGATGCGGGTGTGTATGTTAACAACACCCCTACATCGGTCCGCAAAATGTGCAGAATTGGATCTCATAGATGTGAATACCTAGGCAATCCAATTCTAGTGCGGACCAAAAAAGGGTCCTGCACGTTTTTGGTGCAGGTGCGGGTGCGGTGCGAATAGAGCCATACAAAATGTATGGCTCTAATTGCTCCGCATACAAATCGCATGGGATTTGTACAAGAATGCGGTGTGGTTCCTGTACGAATCAGATGCGATATACCGCACCGCTGTAGTGTGAACCTAGGCTTACAGTTATTTATTATCTCTCAAAGAATTCACAATATATCCCCTGGCAATGCCTTCATCTTCTTTTTCTCTACCACAGGATGGCACGATCTTTGTTCAGGTATCATCCTGGGTCAGCATCTACATCCTGGGCTGCGATGCTGGTTCAGAAGTGACACAATCATGTAAATCCTGGTGCTTGTGTGATTCTTGGTTGTATTCGTTTATCAGCTTCTTTTGCTGCTTTTCTAAATCTGACTTGCTATTGAGTTAAATTGTCACAGTCTGATCTGACTGATAACATCACCCTAGCCTAGGCAAAGTCACTTGCCTGGAGCTCAATGACTGACTTATGATAATAAAAGGTAGAGCTTTCTTGAAAAATTATACTTTTGTTATATAATGTGACATTTATATGATTTCCTTTTAATTATAAAGATACTTGACTAATGATTTACTAATAGAACATGGCTTCTACTGAGGTTCTGCCCTTTATCTAACAGTATAATGAATGTGAATAAAGTGAAACTCTTCTTCTGGTAAAAAAAAAAAAAAAAAAAACATTAATAGAAACCTCCAAATATTTTAATGCCTATTTTTTTGATTTATTACTAGTTAAATTTCTGGACGACCTTTTGGCACCTTTTAAAATGCCTTCACTACTACCACTAGAAATATCTTTGTTAACATGGCTCCCTGGGGTTTCAGTAAGGACTTGTTTACACGTGCGTTGATTAGTAACACACATTAAAGTGCTCACCACTTTAACATGCATTTTGTGATGTGTTTATGATGATTTCGTGATACTTTTTTGAAGCTTCAAAGTGGTTGTAAATCTCAGACATGAAATATGAACAAAGCATAGTCCTCTACAGTGTGTACTTGTCTCAATTAAGAGCACTACGTGTCTTTTCTGTCTGCTGCTTTGTTACTTTGCTATTGGGATTAATCACTTCTGATAAATTTTCCTGACACCAACAGAAAAATGGTGACAGGGAGGGAGTTCCAGCTGACTGACAGCCTCAGTTCTGTTACTCTGTGCTGTGTGAAGAGGGTGTGACCCTTTTGTCCTGAACTCTCAGACAAGCTTTATAAATTCAGCACTTTGAACATATGTAGAGGACAGAAGACAGCAGATAGACAGGTACAACTTATGTAGGAGGATTTGTTACATCTCTGTGTATCACCTGAGGACAGTCACTTCACTGGGTATATGTAAGGGTTTACAACCACTTTATTGAAGCTTGAAAAATGCCCTGTTTGTGTGTGCGTTGATTTTCTTTTTTTCAGTAAAGTTAACTCTGAAGCTCCCCACTACCGCTGCAGGTGCAGTTAGGGAGCAATGCGATAGACATCTATGGAGGCTTTGAATATGTGGTGAAGCACCACAAAAGCAACATGGCGTATGCTTTCTGCAACAAAGCAAAGCCGCGCAAATTCAACAGTGTATATGGGACTGTAAGATAACCATTTTATTTAGTGATAGCTGATTTGAAGTATATTTAAATGTTTACCTAGATTTGATATTATTGGGGTGTATGTTTGTAGGAACGTGTATTACCGCAAGCCTTTCCTTCCACTTTAAATTCCACATTTTACAGCAAGTGTTAATAAGGCCTAAACATATTTTTCTACCCTTACCTACACAATACAAGCCATTGATGAGGGAAGGATAGACGTGTTTGGAAACATTGACTGACATGCTCTGCACTGACCTCATTCTCACTGCAAAACTACTAATTCTCAACTATTTTATTAGTCCACAGGAAAAAAAAAAAACCTTGAAAGGAGCAAGCCTAAATCAATGTAATATATGCAGAACAAGAAGAGATTTAAATGTCATAAAATGTTATAAAATCATAGTTACCATTTTCAATTTTGCTTTTCGGATGAGGACCGCTGAACGCCAAAAATTTTCCTGGAACAATCCAATTGAAATCCCCATTTTCTACCCTCTGTGAACAGTAAAGCAATCCTGTAACAAGCTGCATATTGCCATTTAGTGCCCCACATGATAACTGATCTTTTATGCCTTGTAATGTCTACCAAATGCAGTCATATTTTATATGTATATACTCCACTGATTATGCCACTAATTTGATATAACAGGATTAACTCACCTCATAATGCTCATATTCATCCACATCAAAGTTTTCAAAATTAAAGAACCCAAGATGAAGTGCCTGAAATAGAAACCAAAAATGAACATCAAGCTATACATTATATATATTATAGTTATGTCAATGTGCGATTCTAGGATTCATTTGATAACACATGCAGAACCATGAAAGATCAGTTTTCCAATGTTTATTGTAATCAGACCTAAAAAAACACAATAGATGATATCCATGACAAGATGCTAAATAGGATTTATGTATTTATTTATTTGCTCTTAATTTTTTAATGAAATGTAAATATTGTAATATGCTGATATGTCTACATAGTTAAAGATTTTTAGTGTCAGGTCAGAAATTTATACTGATTTTAATTCTGCATTGCAGGTTAGGACTCTCATCTTATGTAGGGGCACAGACACATAAAAGCTATAATAATTTTTACAGATGCCAACACCGCACTAAATTATAATTAGAATAGCCAGCATGGACACATTTGCATGAATCATAAAATTCTACAAGCAAAGTCAATATTGACCACACTTTCTAAAGAAATAACCACCTGCATCATTATTTAAAGTATAAGTTCACCTTTTGACAAAAAATAATAAATGCACATTCTTTTGCAGTTAAAAAAAATGTGCATTTATTATTTTTTGTTTTGGGAGCCTGTAAAGCATTGCACCAGCGTTCAGCATATCGCTGGTGCCATGCAGGTCTCCTGCAGACCTATCAGTATATCTGCTTGTCTGTTTGGGATATATAGGCGAACAGATATACTGACAGGAAGAATCATTGAACAACCACAATGCTCACAGTGCTGTGGTAGTTCAATGAGAACTACAAGCCGACAGCCGCTAAGACTGTCGGGACTTGTAGCTTTCTCATTCACAGAGGACTGTGAATGAGTGCCACAGCCAGGTGAACAAAGCCCTGCACGGCCACATTTTATTGAAAATTTTGACAGCTAGGGGGAAAGAAAATTTGGGGAACAGGGGGGAATGGGGGCCGGTACATTCATAACATCCTACACCCTGAATATGGGTGTAAGATGTTATGAAAGGTGAACTTATCCTTTAGAGTAGGTCCATCCTGAGAGAAAAGAGGGTAATGCCATTGCTGATCTCCAAAAAATTCCAGCTGTCTGGCTGTTACGGCCTTAAAGATGTGCTAGAGTCTTTAGTAAAAAAAAAAATAAATTAAAAGTCAGCAGCTACAAATACTGCAGCTGCTGACTTTTAATAAACAGACACTTACCGGTCTAGGAGTCCCACACTGTCATCACCCTGGCCAGTCTTTCACCGATCTTCAGGCCCTGGTGCTGCCATCCTGCTTGTGAGAAGTCAGTTGTGACTTCCTGCTGATTCACAGCCAGCTCTCCACTGTGCAATGTGCAAGACATGCTTCGAATTCGGACTGGTCCCACAGCCTCCTGGGCTTGCGATGTGTGCCAGGAGGCTGCAGGCAAGGGAGGGGGCCTAGGTGAGAAGAGTGGAATTGGGAGTAGGTACCTGTCAAAAAAAAGCCCTCCAAAAGTGGTAGAGGAGGGGAAGGGGAAGGAAAAGCAGAACTTCCCATTTTAGGTGAGGTTCTGCTTTAATATTTGGAGTTGCTGACTTGGTAGCAATCATATTAGCAAAGAAAAGTCAAAACTAATCTGCACTAAAAACAAATTGAGAGAACAAAAAAAGTCAATTTACAGTAACACTTCTGTCCACTGGGTGGCAATCAGTACCTTAGAGATGGTAACAGCCTGATACATGCGTTAGATATATATTAGATCATGTACTGAGACATAAAAGTTATGTGATATGCAAGCAAATCATAAAATATATTAAATAGCATAATATTTGTTAGTAATAATATTTGCAATCTAGGACAACCAGCTACTTTTCAACTTTTTTGGCAGTTTCATTACTTTATAGAGTGGCTCCAGGCAATTAAATAAAAATATCCATAAAAATGAGTGAAATGGTTCAGTAAAATCAACTTTGTAAATATATTTTGCCTATTTCTGAAGACTTTATGGGGGTGATTCAATAAAGGAATTGTGCGCCAAAGTCATGAAAGCCATGTAAAGGTTTCGTTTGTATTTCTGATACATGTGACAAGTTCAAGTAGTTCTTATGTGCAACACTTTTACCTTCTGACCAAACAAATGAGCTTAGCTCTTCTTTCTGGCTGTTACCATCATGTAGCAGGTGACGGTCTCACAGTTGGGTTCCTGTCAGCCCCATCTGCTTGGTACTCGAAAAAGTCCTCATATAATCCACAGAATTTAACCATTTCACTGCCAGAGCCGTTTTTACATGTTTAAAGAATTATTTTAGGCCTGAAGATTGCATAAACCTCCAAAACACTATATATTTACTGAAATCAGACACCCGGGAGAATAGAATAGTAGTAGTTGCAATATTCTGTCACACAATATTGCTGCAAAGGTTTCAAAATTTCAGTAAAAAAATACACTAAAGTTAATTTTAGGGCAAACAAACGCAATAAATTACCACATTTTTGGTAAAATATAAAAGAGGTTGTACTGAGTAAATAGATACCCAACATATCAAACCTTCAATCTGCGTGTGCCCGTGTAATGGCGACAAACTTCAGTACCCTATATTTTCCATAGGCGACACTTTAAAAGCCTCCTATAGGTCATTAGCTTGGCATTATGGAGGAGGTCTGGTGCTTGAAATATGCCCCACGCCGGCGTGCGTGGCGATATATAACATTTGTATCGCAAACGACATTCTCATGTGTAGGCGCCCCCAACGTGTGCTTTTACGTTCATACTTTTGCATATGTGGGAGCCTCAAAAAAATTATTTTTGGAGAGTATAAAATATAGTGCAGTTCTGTATAGATACCAATCAGATTTCATTTTTTTTTGTTAAAGCTTTTTGCAGAAGCTGAAGTTAGAAGCTGATCGGCTACTACCATACACAACTGTACCAGATTTTGCACTCTCCTGTGTCAGTAAAACAACCCCATGTCTCCACAATAACAATTTGTTGGTGTTGAAACGTTGGACTGTCATTCATTGGTGGGTGTGTTATCTCAGACTTTTTTTGGGACACAGCTGCCTTCATGAAAAAGAACCTGCTGCCCCCATAACATTGCATTTGTCTGTATGGCGACTTTCATATCAAACAATTTGCTTATAGTGAAAGATGTGTGCTGCTGATGTATATGTTTACATGTTCATAAACATTTGTCCTATCACTTTAGCACCCAGCTTGTCCATGCATTAGCCAGGTTATAAGTGTGAGACTGGATCCTACACTCTCGTAGTGTTTGGCACACTCAGTTACTAAGCAAACAATCCTAAAGCCATAATCCACAATAAAATCACTAGTTCAGCTGCAACATGGTGGCAAAACACACATTATTCCATCACATTGCCTATCCTGACAAAACTTTGCAAGAACAATATTGCTTGATTGTTAGATGACCGGCATGCTTATATGAGTTTGTCAGCATGGTTGGGTAATTGGCAATATACAACCTTTTTACCCATGTTGGACAAATTAAAACTAAATGCAGCCACCAAATCTAAGGATTGTAACGTGCAATTGATTAATTTTGTATTTAATACTGCTTTAACTTGCAGGAATGCTTCCAACATTTGTGCAACAAATGTTTTAGAAAATGACCCCTATGTGTCATTCAACCTAGAAAGTGCTGGGCCACCATATCTAAGGACTGGTAAGTTGTAATTAAGTGTTCTTGCATGGCAAGACCACTTACTGTTATCTCACATATATATTCTTATTATTATAGCCAAATTTACCACCCTAACTCCTCCCACTTTTACACTACATAGAGAGTAATATACCGAAACGTGCGGATTGTTCCCGATTGGTGTGCTATTACTTTGTGGAACGTTTCGCCGAATGGTTCACGAAATATCTGCGTTTTTGTGATGAAATTGGTCCCATAGGAATGAAAGGCGGAAGGTTTAAAACTAGAGTTGGAGCTGGCAAAAGCTAGAGTGTGAGCTGAAAAATCAGGACATGATTTCTAAACTGCCATCACTCCCTCATTTTCAAGCCCACCTACACAAATCTTATATCAAAACATTCAGCTATCCCTGCTACCACTAAAAAATGTCCACGGCTAAGCCATAGTTCTGATAGTTTTCACAATATGACCATTTGTTTGCAACTCATGCCGCCCATTGACATTCACTGAAACTCCACTTTAGCCACCTCAACATTGAAGGGCAATTTCTAAACTGCGACTGTGCCTTCATTTTTAATATTTCAGAGACATACTATGCATCAAAATGTAGGTCTGGGTATTGTGATTCTTATAAAGCTCTTCGGTGTAGGATTTATAATTTTTAAACTACAACCATTTGAAGATGGCAACTGCCAGTGAAGTGAGCAAGTTGGAGCAGTTTGTTTTTAACCGCTCTTCTCTGCCCTTGCTGTAGAGTGAGTTGCCATAGGAACCCAGGTGTGTGAGCAGGCAGCAGAGTGACAAGCCATTCCACCCAGTTACTCCGCCCACTCCAGTTGTAGACTACTGGTGGAGGCAAGAACACTTCACACAATTTTCCCAGAAATTGTAGCTTTCTAGTATATTAATGTTTGTTTAGGGATTTAAATACGCTTTAGGGCAGACTTCAGGAAGCGGTCAGATACGTTTAGAAGTGAATTCGACTGTGTTACACTTTGCTACTAATATCAATAAAAAGTATGATTCCAAAGTTAAAATGTTAGAATTGATTTGTCTGGTTTTGCTTTATTATCATTTGTATAGCCATGTTCAGGACAGCGCTTAGAGTCCTGTACAAGAATTTGGAATTTTTTACTCCCCATATCTGTAAGTTTTATTCAGATACTTTACGTTCCTTCCATAACATAAATACTGGTAATAAAAGGTGATTCAGTTTTGAAAACAACTATTCCTATGATCTTGCTGAAATTTGATCCGTTATGTTGAAGCTTTGCCACATCCACTTACATCATTCAATGTACTGCGCTGAGTCCCACACTGCAACATGGGTGGGGGTGGGGATGGGGGGTGGGCAAAGACAGTGGCACAGCTCTGACTTAAATTTTGAGCTTTGGTTTAAATTTTGCATCTTGCCCTCTTTTAATCTTTCCCTGCTTAAAGTGGACCTTCCAAAAATGTTCTAAATCTATTTCTCTCTGCAATCTTCAGCAAGTTCAAAAAGTGATATTTTTGGAGAGGTTGTTTACATGTAAACATTTTTATTAGTCCGGCTTTCCCCGCTGTCTAGACAATAATGATGTGCCCCTGCTCTCACAGCCCCCTAGGATATGCCCCTCATATATTCCAGGAGGCTGCAGGAGCAAGGACACAGAGCGGCCAGTGGGTGGAGATACCGGCTCATCATCAGAGCCAACTACCTGAACCCTAAGGGCTAGTTCACATTAGATGCAGTCCAGTGCATTTTTTTTCTGCATCAAAAATACATGCACAGTGTTTTCCATGTATTTCAATGGCCCTATTTCACATAAGTGTAGTCATTTTCGGTGCAGAAAAAAAAGTAGACTGTGTTGCATTTTTTCTGCACATTACCATACTGGAACATAGCAAACTGTGTTAAAACTGCACCAGAACACAGTGTGGTGTGAACTGTAAGCAAAAACGTATCCAGAATGCATCCAGAGTCAAAACTGGCCCTAAAAGGACAGAAGGGCTGATGGAGGCATGGTACCCAGACTGGCAGTGGACCGCATGCTCACAGCAGGAAACCTTTCGGATTTGCTGGGCATGTATGTGAGTGGAGAACAGCACTGTGGGAAAGAGAGGGGAGGGAAAAAAAACAGAGGGAGGGGGAGTAAAGTTCTTTAGGCTTTAAACACATTGCCAGAATTTAAAATGTCATCAGAGAAACCTGGAGGTTATTATATGTTGTTCTACTTCAATACTGACTTCTGAGTCAGTGACCCAAAAGAATGGCAGACCAAGAAATTCAAAGAAAAGTCCCAAAACATAATTTACATACTTGTTCAGGATAAGTGATTCAAATTCATCAGTTGTTCTCTCATTCTAGGCTTTTTCACAGGCCAGGTGTATTTGACTGATGCCAGGGATCTAACCCAGAAATGTAGCACTGCCTTAGCGTTCTCCACACATTAAACTGTTGTTTAAAATGAAGTTCCTTGTGTGGTGGATGCAGAATAATTATGCCTAATCAAGCTTTAAATGAAGGACATAACCAAAAATGTTACCTTGCGTATTCCCTGCAAACAGTCCAGGATGGTAAGGTTATATGTGCAATTCCCAAAAGAAGCATCTCTGTAAAGAGAGATAATATGATTTCATTTTAATAGTCACTGAAATGGGGCAAAGGAAATAGTAACAGTCAAAGTTGGATTGCAAAAGATTGCAAAAGACATAATAACATCAAACATTAGTTGTCCTACTATACACAAGAATAAAGCCCAGGCACACACTGGCTGGCACAGCTACTTTAGGTTCCATGCACACTAGCGATTTGTTTAACCTCCCTAGCGGTCTGATTATGTCCATATTTCTGTGCTCAAAGTGGTACATTCTTTTGCATGGAAATATGTATTTTTTTTATTGTAGGCCTGTAATTTTTAGGAATAACTCACTGAAATCTGTCCAAACAAGAGTCTAGTAAACATCCTGGGTATGTTAAAATTTGAAACACTAAATCATAAATTATAATTTAATAAATAATCATAAAAAATAATATAATAATAATAAATTTAATTCAATAATATAATCAAACCAAAAACACTGAAATTTGAAATATAGCGCCAAATTTGCATTAGCGCTCAGTTCACATCACTGAGCAAAGTCGCAAAATCGTTTTCAGTGTCTGATGACGAATTTCCCCACAAATCATTATCACTCAATTCTGCAAGTGGTTCTGATTTACTATCGCTGTTCTCTAGCTGGTCTAAAACCGCTTTTGACCTAAAGGGACGCTTTTTGGACGCCATGGACATTTCTCAGTTTCCAGGCATAAAGGACAGTAATAATGCAGGCAGGGCACAAGACAAAGCACTAGGGACAAAATGTATGTGAAATGGTTTGCTACAGTAATGTTTTACTATGTGATTTTAGTGTATTTAGTGAATGTCACTTTTTGTCATTTTCAAATTTCCCGCCGTTCCGTCCCCCGTACGTCCTGACGTCGCAGGGAACGGAACCCAGAAGACAGATGCCGGCATCGGCCAGAGGACATTACAGGGGACACTGCAGGAGGGACATCGCGGGAGCGCAGGACAAGGTAAGTGAAAAACAGATCCCGGAGCAGCGCAGCAGGGTAAGCCCGAGTGTAGCTCGGGGTTACCGCTTGTGGTACTGAAACTTTACCCCGAGCTACACTCGGGAATACCGCCAGGGAGGCTACGCTCAAAAAAAGCTGGATAAAAAAACACTGGTAAAAGCATTTTTTAGTAGCGTTTAGGAGCAATAGAATTTTATTAGCATTTTTACAGTACATGTAGCAAAAAAAAAATTTAAATGCTCGAAAAAATCTGTTAGTAGCGGTTTAGTACCAGTTAGCATTTTTTTCTGCTGGAAAAACACTCCAAAAAACTCTACAAAACATTTTTTTTCTGCTCCTGGAAGCTGAAGCTCAAAAAACAATAATAACCTAAAGTAGTGTGCATGGACACATAGGAAAACACTTTAGCAGCAGAAAATAATGCTATTAACAGCTTCTAGGAGCTTAAAAAAACACTAGTGTGCATGAAGCCTTAGCTTGAGGGCCAGACATCAAGATATTTCTTCAATGTGTACATTTGTTTGTTGCCAAATAGTTTAGGATCTCTCAGATCATCTAAATGACAAATGGCAGAATGATGGAACAAGCATTTACTTAAAGTTGGGTATACACTAGTAGAATTTTTAGCAACATTTTTCATTTTATGAATATTTATTCAATTTTCTAATCAATAGTAGGAGGAGGTCAGATCGACAGTCATTTGTTTTCAGCCAAAGTGTCAAGAAAATTCAAAGGAGCAAGATGGAAAATTTCCCTCAAACAAACTAATATTTAAGTGTATGTGGTTTTCATAAAGAAAATTACATTAATTCCAAAATCGAATGTTAAAAGCAAATTAAGTTTTAACATTGAATGACATTGAATGACATTTATCTAGCCATCTAATGTACAAAGAATTTTCATACACATGTCCATACAAATATGCGTATGAATTTTCGTTCAAAAATCCACTGGTGTAAAGTTTAAAGCCAACTTAATTACCAGAAGTATGCACATTTCAGATACTGTGCAATTCAGATAATCGCTGTGCAAACTGTTGGCGCTATATAAATCCTGTATTATAATAATAATAATACTGAAATTTGTGTAAACAGTATTATTTTCAGCTTATCAACTAAGAAATAAAATGTTATACACTAACGGACACTGGATGGGAAATGACTAACTGCCACTGACATCTCCAGTGACACTAATACAGTGATCAGTGCAAATAAAAAGCACTGACACTGTACTAATGACACTGGCTAGGAAGGGGTTAAGATCTGGGGCAATCAAAGGGTTAAGTGTGTGTTAGGGAGTGACTTGACTATGTGCTTTGTGGTGTTTTCACTAGGGAAAGTGCTTTGCAAAGAGATGAAAACCAGCAAGTCCCCTTTGACAGGAGAGAGAACAAGTTCTGTTTACACTCACAGATCTCTCTCCTGTCAGTTGCTCTGCTGTCCTGGCCAGAACCCAGTGATTGACATCTACAGGAGCCAATGACACCACGGGTATGACAGCGCATGCGCTCCCTACCTGGAAATGCAGAATCACATATAAATATACACGTGATACCGAGCGGCCACCCTGTAGCAGTAAATTTGCTATATGGGGATTGGCAATTGGTTATATGCTGAAACAAACACACAGTCTGCCACACCTACATAATGTGAACGAAGCTTAAAGTGGTTGTAAACCTGACATAAAATATGAACAAAGCATATCCCTCTATAGTGTGTACGTGTCTCAATCCAGAGCACTAAGTGTCATTTCTCTCTCTGTTGCTTCATTCTTCAGCTATCAACATTAATCACTTCTGAAAAGTTTTCCTGACATCAAGAGAAAAATGGTGACGGGAGGGCACAACCTGTAATAGATAGCCTCAACTCTGTTCCTGTGTGCTTTGTGAAGGGTGGTGTGTCCCTTCCCTCCAATCAGCTCTCAGAGCTCTCCTTACTGAGTGTAGCTGCAGATCCCCACCCACTGTTTTCCAGAGCTGAGAGATCCTGTGTCAATTTTGCACATTGAATGGATGTGGGGAACAGACAGCTGCAGAGAATCAGGTACAGCTTATGTAGGAGGATTTTTTTTGTCACTGTGTATCGCCTGAGACCAAACACATCACTAGGTATATGTAAGGGTTTACAACCACTTTAAAATGGTGGTTGCCTGATCTACAGTGTTCAAGATATTTATAAATACAAAGGTGACCAAACATTCCAAATATAAGAAAAGTCCATTGCTCAAACTGGATTTTTCGTTGAAAAGCCTACTGCTCCCTTTAGTTAGCAGTGATGGAAAGGTCTGCTGTACCCATAGACATGACCTGTAGGACACCAGTGTACATTTATGGCATTAAGCAAAAATACTACCCTGCGCTATGTGTAAATCAAAATTTCATTCACCAAAATAAACAATCAAAATTAACAGCTGCACTCACTGTATCTTATCACCAAAATGTGTTGCGCTGTTAGAAATAATTCAATAAAGTGCAAAAACATACTTCCAAATGGTGTGCAAATAATTCATAACATTGATACAGGCCACAATAACTCAACAGTATCAAAATAAATACATAAAAATATGTATAAATAATAAAGTCCAACAACCAAGATAGTGTAGAACAGTGGTTCTCAACCTGTGGGTCGCGACCCCTTTGGGGGTCGAACGACTCTTTCACAGGGATCCCCTAAGACCATCAGAAAACACATATTTCCGATTTGTAAAGAGCAGCTACTGTGTAGAAAGCAGTTGCTGTGTTGAAAGCAGCTGCTGTTTTGAAAGCAAGCTACTCTGCTAAAAGCAGCTACTGTGTTGAAAGCAGCTACTGTGTTGAAAGCAGCTACTGTGTTGAAAGCAGCAGTATTGGAGGTAAAAGGACACTCATGAATTATGATTACTGGGTAAATAATTTTATGGTTGGGGGTCACCACAACATGAGGAACTGTATTAAAGGGTCATGGCATTAGTAAGGTTGAGAACCACTGGTGTAGAAGAATCGTGCTCAATCCAGATATACTGACAAGCGATAAAAATAAGACGCATGTCAGGTACAAAGCGTCCAGCACCCCAGCAGGCGTAATGACGTCACCACTAAGTCTCTTCTGATCCATTCATCTGAGATTGGGTTTTCACTCAAAGTGCTGTTGCACCTTGATTCAGAGGTCTCAGCTTCTGGTAAGAGGCTTGTATTTTTCTGAGTGGCATGCACGGCGGTGAAGATTGCAAGCACATGTCATTTGATGCATGGATTGAGCACGATTCTTCAACACCATCTTGGTTGTTGGTCTTTATTATTTATACATATTTTGATATATTTATTTTTGTCACTATTGAGTTATTGTGGACTGTATCACTGTAATGAATTATTTGCACTATTATGCACTATGCATTATTTCTAACAGCGCAACACATTTATGGCATTTCCTTTGGCTAGAAAAATGATCTTTTCTTCCCAACACAAGAAGAAACAGGGCACTGGATTCAGATTTTCGAAGGGTCACTAAAACTGTCAGAGTGACTGACTCTGGTTTCAGCAGCACTCAACAAAAGGGGGACTAACCTCAAGAATAGGGAAAGGACCAAGAGTTTGTAATCCACATACATACAATCCAATGAAAGCACCAAAGAAATGTCCAAGAGTCCAAGGTAATTTAATGATAAAATTGATTAGAAAATATTGAGAGTCCAAGCTAATTTTCTATCATTCAATTTTATCATTAAATTACCTTGTACTCTTGGATGTTTGTTTGGTGCTCTCATTGGATTGTATGTAAAGTTCTTCCTGACATCTGACCTTCACACAAAAATTAGCATCCACTTTATTTAATCATATTATAGACACCAGCTGTCATTCAATTGTATGTGATATTTTTGACTGCCAATAACCTACAGAGCTGGAATTCTAGACTGCTAACTAATGAAATGTTAAACTAAAAAGACTCAAAGGCTACTTTGAATATAACCACATACTGGGGCCTATTTACTAAAGATGCAAGTTTTATTGTCAAAGCCTAATTGAACAAGCTGAGGTTAGAAGCTGATTGGTTTCTATGCA